GAGCTCTATGGCGCCATCCTGAAGGAAGAAGTTGGAACAGATTGTACCCAGGATGAGAAGATCTGTACCCAGGATTTGTACCAGATCTGCTAGATTATCGTGATCCAAGTCTAGTAGGATAACTAATTCTATTACATAAGGGAAATCTCATTACCTTAAATTTACAGAGACAGACCCTGTTAGAAATTTTTGAATGCTCACAAAATAAGTACCTAAATCTGATTTCTTTTTCTTTTTCTTATTCTACAAATGAAGATGTTATATTCTAAACCATTTTAGAGCCTATCATTATCTATATGCAATAGTATAATGGGAATAAAACTTAATAAAACCATGGCTATGAAATAAACAGTAAGAAAGTTAAGTACCTGATGGACAAATCTTCTGTAATGTAATAGATTTCACGAACCATGATTTTTCCAGACAGAACAGAGAAGGAGAAGGAGCCTGTATTAAAAAGAAGGTTTCTATTAAACCACAGAATACCAAAGAGCCGTTTAGATCCTCAACTCCCACCTCCCTGCTTTCTGCAAGAATCCAAATGAAAGCATCTCAGAAAATGGGTATCTAGCTTCTGCTCAAATGTATTCAATGAAGGGTAGCCTACCACCTCCCTGAGTAATTGGTGCCACTGCTGACCTACTCTTAATCAGATGCCACTACCAATCTTAGTAAATATCAATATTAGTAAATATTTTTGCTTTTCCCAGTCCCTCCCCTTAGTAGCTTAATAAGACATTTTTCTTCTTCTCTTCCATTAGTTTTTAACCTCTGACATACAAATGCTGAGCTTATTGCCCAAAGAGCCATGTAGGTACTGCTTTCTCTGTGTCTCCCTACTGTTTGTTGTGAGCAATAGAGAATTTGCTCTTTACTGGAACACTGATACCGAATAGACTATAGAAGATCTAACTGGAAGGGTATAATGGAAAAATCCCATCTCAAGGACAAAAATTAAAGGTAAAGTTCAACTTGATCTGTCAATCAAATTTAATCATAATCTAGATAGTGGGCAGATAACATCAAAGCCCAAGGAACTCAAACTCTGAGTTCAAGCTCAAACTCTAATCAGGAGTAGGAAGTTTATCCTCTTTTTCAACTGAGCTTCCAGAAGGGAAGGGGCAGCAATTCCATTTTGCATCTGTTGTATCTTATTTCTTAAGGAAGGAAGAGAGAGCCTCTTTCTCTTCTGGCTCACAAATGGGTAAACAAAGCCAAAATTTTCAGGGTTCTGGAATAAGAAATCTAGGAAATACCAGCAATCTAAGAACTAGCAGAAACTACGTGAGAAGTAGAATCTTAATTTACAGAAAATGATGTTGTAGTGCCTTTATTTTCCCCTTTTGGTCCTATTTGAGAACCATTCAAACTTTAAAAATGATTACTTGGTGGAAAGAAACTTCTCAAGCAAGGAAAAAAAAAACTTTCCCCAAACAAAATTAATACTTGGTTCCAAGGACTCCCCCAAGAAAGAGTCCCCCCCTCACATTCACTCATTCAGGGTTAGTGAATATTTATTGTTCAAATTACTGTTCCCCAGAACAATCAATTCCATCCCCATCCCACAACTACCATGATGTATTAGAGTGTGCATGGACATATGCAACTGGTTGGATTCATCCCTCCATCAAACAGAGGCTCCTAGGTTTTTCCTTCCTACTGCATTCTCCAAAACTCTTGGAGAGGTCTTATTCAGTACATTGCAACCACCTACTTTATTCCAGGGAAAAATCCCTTTCTACACATGTGTGTTCATGAGGAAGAAAGTAGCAACATTTCCAGTGCCTGCTCTTCCTAGTTTAAATAAGTGGGGAGAGTGTACTAGAGGTAAAATCCTTTCAGCATGAATGTGCTAATTTAGTTAAGAAATTCAAGCTTTTTATTATGTATACTGAAGTTACAAAAATGGTTAGGAGCTGAAAGACAAGGAGAGAGAGGAAAAAAAGGGTGACTTCAGCAGAGTAGTGGCCTCATTTTTAGCCAATAATGCACATACACAAAGAACCAAGACAGAATAAGATCAAACAATGGTTAACACAAACATCACAACTTGGATCATTTTTCATAAAACAAAAGTAAGATTCTAATTCTCATTTAGTTTATACTAGTTTTTAGATTGCTATACATTTCCTAGATCTCCAGGAATTGAGCATCATTCACCTGGCTCTGAGGCAATCAGGAAAGACCTACTCTGCTCCTCCCATGAAAGTACAATAAAAAAAATATATAAAAGCTCACAGGGGAAACAGGGAACACTTCCCACTACTGTTTGATTGCTCAAGAGTTTAAGTTTCCTGGGCTCTGATGGTCTATGACTTTTACAAGTTAAATTTGATTGCTAGATCAAGTTGAAGTTTAATTCTTTTATGTCTGAACCACCTGGAATGAGATTTTTCTCCCCATCCAGTACACAGTGCTGTGGCATCTTCTTATATGTTGTGTGATGGTAACCCAGAGAATTTGTTAGTGCAAAAGCCTTTCTGAGAGTCCGTGCATGAGTACAGACACAGTCCCATTTAGTCATAGGATGCCATGGATGAATCTGTTATTCTGGTTCATGTTTGAATTATATGTTTTTCCTCTTTACTTCCAAGTTCACAAAATATAAGATACAGAAGACATTCCATCTATGTAGCAGCAGCATATTTTAACCACATCACTGCAATGTAATCTCAGCACAGGATTAGTCTTTTCATCACACTGATGTCAACAGAATAATTGGACATGCTTAATTTTTTTCTCTTATTGAAAGAAATGCAGTACAGAATATTGAACACTGACTAGACTTTTTTTCAGCATAATATTCTGAATATAATTTCAGAATATATTATATGTTTCATATTAAAATCAAGATGACTTACCAATATGGATATAGCCATTTTTATGTAATCTGTTAAGGACCAATGTTAAAATAAGACCGATGTTTCGGGAATTGTAATAAGTTAGGTAAATAATCCAGCCACAGGATAAAATTGTAGCTGCAAAACAAATATTCACACATTTAGAGCAATGGAAAGTTGTCCTTAAGAAACACAGAAGAATTGTTATATTCGTAACACAGAAACTCTTTGGAAGTATCTAGAGAGAGAGAGAGAGAGAGACATTCTTAAAATTCCAAATGTGCTCACTGGCATACAGTGGCTGGGTACACACATCACTACCTCCCTTCCTTGCCCCAATCTCATGTGTCAAATAGCTTTATAAAATAATTTCACATAAAGCTGCAAGGCATTATTTTGGAAGCACAATCCCAGTCTGGTAATTATACTTTTTAAATAGCTTGACTGTCCTAATGAAAACTTTATTTCAGCCTGATTACTGCAGATAAAGTAAAGCAAAGAAAAATCTACAGGACAAATGAGAAGGCCTTCTGGCCACATCTAGCCTAAGATTCAGGGTTTCATAGTTATTGATGTAATTACTGCAAATTAAAAATGTTGTACAATGATAATGGTATCAGTAAAAAAAAAAAAAAGCCATATAATGATAATGGTAGCAATTCCAACACTACATTTCAAATGCTATATTTTTCTGCCTAGGTATTGACTATGCTCTATATTGTGCACTATCCATGACCCAATAAATGCATATTATATACATACAGATGCAATTATTCAAGCCATTACAACACAATAAAAAGGTAGTATATAAAGAGGAAATATGAAGCAAAATGTGTATTATTGTTTAAATTGCAAGCTGATATAGAAATGGAACAAAACAAAGTTAAAGATGGAAAATTAAGATGCTGTATAAAACTGTATTTAACATTCCACCTAACTCCAGTTTTGAGATTAATAATTAAGTTCTGTTTAAAATCACCCACAATAACATCAACGTTTTATATAACAAGCAA